CAAAAAATATGTAGCAAGAAACTTGTATCAGGACTTAGTATGTAGGATTAGTGAGATAGAGAAGAAAATAAAACCTCATTAATCTCATATTTTGATGGGGAAACTGTAGAAACACGTTAACTTCTACAAAATTGATTGACCTCTTCCTTATCTAGAATGAACAATAGGAGCAATATCAATCATATTGTTAAAAACACACCCTAATTAAGATTCTTTAGCAAAAAACATCAAACTTTTTACAAGAAACTGAAAAGCTATTATTGATTTTTGTCAAGTAAACTGTCAACAACAAAAACATATAGAAAAATAGAAAAAAAAAACCCAAAAATGATAGCAAAACTTTGTTACTTCGTGAAAACTTAAATCACTAAAATCGAAATAAAATTTAGATCTAGAACATATGACAACAATTAAACATACCTTATTGTTGCAAGTGGCAACAGTAATTCTGCAAAACAGATAAAGTGATAGGATGAAAAAGACAATACATAAATTATAAAGCTTGATACCATGAAGCGTGAATTCCAAAATCGACAATAAAGTGATAGGTGGATTCAAAAATCGAAATCAATATAAACAAAATTAGGAAAATAAGCAAATGCATTCAATTTCCATGACCAATAAATCGAAGACAATGGGTTAATACCTAAGAAAAAGATGCTTGCTAAATTGGGTGTCTCGTGCAACACTTTCAGCTAAAGCTTTCACCGCTTCTCCTTCCACCCGTAAAACTCTATCGAGCATCGTATGTCGTCGGAAGGTCCACTCGTTAGCGACTTCACTTAAAAACCGTGGGGTTGTTAACAATTGGAAAAAGCATAGATGTAAGGCTAGGAGGCGATATGGTGGATTAGAAGAGAAAAAGAGATGGTCGCCGATGAATTCTGAGATCTGGGGGATACCTACATTTTTGGATTTCAAAATTCGAATCCCCTGTGAGATGGACACAAGATATGCGACTTTTAGGGAAAAGATGGGGATTTTCAAGGTTAAGAGAAGGAGTATCAAATGAGCGGGAAACGAGAAACACACAGGAATACGGTAGTGACACGTGACATGATGACAATTTAAAAGAGTGTCATGTGACGTTTTAATGAGTTTTTTATTAAGAATAGATTGTTTATTTAGGAAAATTCTTCCAAATAAAAAAATATTAAGCAACAAATTTAAGAGTTTAAAAAGTAAAATAAAAAGAACTAAAATGAAATTGTAAAACTTTCATTTTCTCATGTAATGAAAACAAAAGCCCTGAAAACCCCAATGTTCATCTTTTGTGCAAATCAACAAGAAAAAACCTTGCTACCTTCGTTCATGACGGTTCTACCTAAGCCACTAATACCCAGGAAGATAACCCCATCTCCCGGACAGAGGAATCTGTAATGTTCGCTATTAATGTCGAAGTATATCCCTTGATATCACCTGACAATCGAATAATTACGGATGGATTCATCATCGGTAGATTCAATCTCTCTGCAATCATCAGCCGCCGGAGAAAATGTAATAGTGGTGATGGACGGAAACAGGGGGAAAGGAAGTCTCGATGCTCTAGACTGGGCGATTAAGTACATTGTTGGCCCAAATGACACCGTCGTCGTTCTTGGAGTGTTGCCGGAAATCGGCAAGAAACCCGCTCCTTCTTGTTTACCTTTTCACCTCGGAATTGGCACCTCCGGCATCTGTAATCTTCTCATGTCTCTTGTATAACTGCTCGGAGTTCGCCTTGAAAGATTGATTCAAATCACGAACTCCTTCTGATGGATGCTTTTTTTATTTTTTACTGTTATTATGTTAATGTTTGTAATTTTATAGATCAATGTAGCCAGTACTCTTTATTTTTTGTACTAAAAATATTGATTTTCATTTGAATCTTGGGCTACAAATCAGGGATAAAACTCGAGTTTTCACACAATGAAATGACACCATCGGAACTCCAACAAGCGATTGGGAGAAAGAAGAGGGAATACCAAAAATTTCTCCAGCCCTACTACCACCATTGTAAGAAGAGGGAGGTTTGTGTCTTATTTGCTTTCTCAATACTTAAAGGCCTCGTTTGCTTTCTCAAAAAGATGAATTGGATTCTCTGATCTCCCGTCTGTGTAAAAAGACATAAAAGCCCTCCTCGTCTGAATGATCCTCCCTGCAGGTGAAGTTAGATATAAGGCTAGCTGCAGGATACGAATCCAAGAAATTGGCAGTTGAAGAAGCAGAAAAGCTCGATCCCCGCTGGATTGTTCTAGATGGGTACTTCATTTTTTTGGTTTCTTGATTTTCTTTTGAAAATTTCAAGATCTTGTCTTTATGGATTCCCTTTTGAATTTTAGATACTTGAAGAAAGATAAAGAATATATACACAAAAACGTAGACTGTCATGTAGCTTTATTGAAAGAAAAAGGTGTAGCAACCTTAATCCCATCAAAAATCACAGGCCCAGAATGCGAAGAATGGCAAACGGTTTGCAGAAAAATCGATGATCCAGCTTTCACCGATGATGACTTTGTGGAAGAATTACCAAACTCACCAAAACAAACTCCATTAACGCCTTCTTCATACCCGTTGTCATGGAGAACAGGGTTCCCAAGAGCTTTTTCTTTGGGTGAAATTGAAGAAATAACAAATGATTTTCAAAATGTCACGCTTAAAGATCAAAATAGGATCATATACACCGGGGTTTATGGAGAGAATCAGGTTATTGTTATGTGTTTTCGTGCAGATGATCATTCGGCTTCTTTACTTAAAATTGTTTCGCGAGTTCGCCATAGGAATATTTTGAATCTTGTTGGTTATTGTTGGATTGGTGGTTCCATCTTCCTGTTGTGTGATTGTCCGGAAGGTTCACTTGAAGCTTGTTTGCTGTGTAAGTCTCCTTTTGTGAATTATGTGATTCTCAGTCCGTTAGGTTCGTTTGCCACATAGGATATGACAGAACAGGTTGTACTGTGTTGGGACTAATGTCAGTTGTGTAAATTGGAGACTAATCCCAATGGGACAAAAATCCACTGGGACTCGCTCTCGCTCTTTATCTATTGTCTGTGCAAAAGACGTAAATACCCTTCTATATAAAAAAAATTTAGGTGATAAGGCAGCAACAAATCTTTCATGGAACACGCGGTGGGGTATTGCCCTAGAAATCGGTGCAGGCATCCAATACCTTCATGAGGAGTTTGCAGATGGATCAATTGTAAACTTATCCCTTTGTTCTTGTAATGTTGCACTTGGTAGTGATTCTTCTGCTATGGTAACACAATCTTATTTTTGTGTGTTTCTTTAAATGAAAATGGACTTTCGAGTCATGAAATTTGAAGCGTTTAATGGTGATATTGAAGCTTTGCATTTACGAGACAACAACAAAGCAGATGAAGATTGATAATGATTCGCAAGATGAATCCATGTTAGTGAAATAAATCTTGTGTAATTTATTGGTTTGAAGGGTAAATAATGTGTGTTTTTGGTGAATTAAGATGCAAGAATATAGATGTGAATGAGCAACTTAGAGCGGATATACAAGATTATGGAGTTTTCTTGTTGGAGCTTATATCGGGACTTAGTAGGCGATTGTTTGAAAAGGATGGTCAATCCCTTGTTGACTGGGTAAGGAAATGCTGTCTATAGTGTTGTTTCTTTTTGACTTAATAGGTTAAGCACTTGATTGGGTTGTTAATTATTTACTTAATTTGGACCTAATGACTTAGGGTTTAAGACACCAACCGTTTACCTATTTTCCTTTATTTTTTCCTCCAACCGCACATGTTTAAAATGGATGGATATTGTTAAAATTGATAAGTATTATGAAATTTATTATTTTGTAGTGTAATTGTAAAATGATTATTTCGTTAAGAAGAAAAAAAAAACATACATTATGTGTACAACACTTTATTAAGGCATAAGTCATTTTTCACAATCATGACATAAATAGAAAAAAAGAAACAACCCTTTAAGCTTGTAAATTATATATATGAATACTTAGAAAAAAACAACCCTTTAATTTAGTAAACTATACGTTTAAGTTTTATTTTATTTTATTTATTATTATTATTTTTTATATGATAAAAGAACGACATAAAGACAAAAGAATAAAACTTTCCTCTTAAAGTCCTAACTTTTATACAAAATTTCCATGGTTTATTTTTTGTGAGATTTCCCAAGTTTCCCATACATTTTAAACATTATTTTTGGAGCCAACAGTTTATAATCTAATTTACCAAGTAAACCTTGTTTGAACTCAGGCACTACCGTTTTTGGAGAAGAATATACTAAGCTCTATTTTGGATCCAAGGTTAACAGAGACAAGTGATCCTCGAGTGGTTCATATGGCTCGAGCCGCATTGGCATGTTTGAAAAACGACTCGAGCCACAATCTTACCATTAGTAAGGTGTTGGCAATCGTTCGGGGTAATCAATAGGTGGAAGTACTACATTGAGAACAATCATGGTATAATAAAAGATAGTATGACTATGTATCTTATACAATAAAAGTTGTATATGGCCCAACGTTCGTTTTTTGAAAGGGAATAATATTACAAATATAAATGATTTCCAAGTATGTAACAAAAAAGACACTAGTGGCGATTTCCATGTATGTATCAAAAATATTTTAATAACTTTAACTTGGTTAATGTGAGTGTATATATATATATATATATATATATATATATATATATATATATATATATATATATATATATATATAATTAAAAAAAATTCTCTATGATTTTCTTTCTAAAGTATCATCATCTGACTTCAAAATTATCAAATCAACGATGATAATCATAGAAATTCCACATCGATCGAATTGTTGACGCTGTTAACGCAAAATCGTCATTGATTTCAAAGCAAAATCGATTTTACGAGGTTACCTTAAATGAGTAGAACACATTCAGTATACGAAAAGTTTAATGAACTAAACTAAATTGAAAAAAACAAAGGAATATTTATTACGAATATATCAATGAAGGAAAAAACAGATTATCGAATACTTTACTTTTGATTTGCATGTTTAAATACAACATTTGGATTTCTAATACGTTTTTTTATTGAATGTAATTTGAGAGTTTTTTCAGCAGTTTAATAGATTTAGAAAGAATGAGTGAAGATCTGCAAAGCACAACAAATTTTTTACCAGGTAGTGATTCATAATTTTTTTTTAATAACTAACGTATGGTATTAAAATTTACTTATTTGATATTTATATTAAAATCACATTTAAATCGCATATGAATCATATATAAGTCATATGTTATTCATATTTTATTTGTATTTAAAATCACATATTAATTATATGTGAATCATATTTGATTTATATGTAAATCACATATGAATCGTGTTTATATGAAAATCAAATTTTAATCAAATAGTATTCACTCTTGATTTTCATTTTAATTACATACAATGACAATAAATAAATATATGATATTCATAGGTGATGTTGATGAGGAATCTAGTGAATTTAACATAAACAATGGCGATATATATGTTGAAGATGTATTTTTCAAAGATATTATTGAAGATGATGAACAACTTTCTTCAACATCACAGTTAAATAATAATGAAGAATGTAAGTTTCTGTTAATATTAATTTTGATTGTAACTAACATATTACTTTGATTGTAAATAGCATGTTGTTCTATATATTAATCACAACATATTGTACATATGATTTGATTTAATATTATTTAATTTTCAGCAAAACATTTTGAATCAGAAGATGAAGATGAATTAAGCTGCATAGAAGTAAAATCTCCTTGTGATACCAAAACAATTGAATGGATCCCAAGAGTTGATGAATAAGTCCTTCGAAAGAAAGATATGGTGTTTGAAACATTAGATCATGGAATTCAGTTTTACAAAAAATATGCAAAGAAATCAGGATTTGATTGTAGATGATATGGGCATATTTAGTCATATAATTTATATATTATCTTAATACTTTATGTTGATTTTATCTCATTTAATGAACAAAATGTTCTTAATTAGTTTATAATTTCATTTTTCAGCAATAATGACATGCTCGGATGGAAAAGGAAGCGTAACTAGCAATTGGAAGCTTGGAGATTGGATTTTGAAGAAAGAAGGTTGTTGTTGGACAGTTTGACCCCTCGTTAGTGTTCTGGCCATATCTCATGAACCGTAACTCTGATTGACAAGATTCAAAATGTTCTGAAAACTAAACACAATTTTGGACGACTTTTGTGTTTGGAGAAAATGTTGATTCCGAATGAACTCGACGAGTTGGGCCTCAACTCGATGAGTTAATCACAAAGTTCGTGATTCTCGATGCTGATTTGTCGTACACGAGATTTTAAGTGATGGACTCGCCGAGTTGGTCACTGGACTCGCCGAGTCGCCCCTGTTTTCAGAAGTTATATATAGAAACGCTTCTCATTAGAACCCTAACAAATGGGGGAAGTTTAGGACGATTTTTGGAGGCCATAAGGGTTCTTAGAAGCTGTGGTTTTCGAGATTTCAACTTAGATATCAATTTGGAAGAAGATCAAAGGCAATAACACATTACTTTTATATAAATATTTTGCATGAACCATGTTTCAATCATTAGATTATGTTTTTAGTTTGTTATTTGCTGTAGATATGAGCTAAAAATTCATAACTTCTATTTAGAATATATGATTTTATGAATATGGTTTGATTTTATGATTGGATTAATTTAGTTTGGCGATTTTGTTTTGTTAAGCTTGTTAAAGAACCTTATGTGTTAATTACAACTATTTTTTGTTAATTAACCAGTAATGAAGTTGCTTGAACATCTCTTAGTTGTTAATCTCATATGATTTATGTGAAAACATTGTTAGATGCCTAGGAATAGCGAACGTGAAACTAGGGTTAACTAGAAAATAGGTACGTTAATGTGTGAGCATGTGTAACGAACCATCAACAAGGAGTTAATTGAATTAGCATATTTGATTAGCTCATTACAAGTCTTACTTAACCCGAATCAATAAACTAGGAAATCTATTAGTTTAATCACTTGATCACTGCTTGAATTAATTTGTTTTCTAAGGATTAGTAATAGTGAACGGGAACCTAATGTAACAACGTAAATTTTTAAAACAAATTTTCATTTTTAAAACATACATTTACTCATAAAATAATGTATCAAATGTTATCATCACAAAACATATCTCAGAATCTCAAAACATAAACTCCACGAGTGTGTACGGATCATGTCGGCACCTTCCCGCAATCATCACTAGAACCTGAAACACATAACACAACAACTGTAAGCATAAATGCTCAGTGACTTCCCCAAAATACCACATACAACACATACGCCATTCAAGGCCGCAGTACGACCCTCTGATCAATGTGTCTTAGCGGGACCCTCCAGTCCCGTAGCTCGTTGGACCCTCTGGTCTAGTCATAGCTCATTGGACCCTTGGGTCCGATCTATATCGTTGGACCCTTCGGTCCAGTCCACACAATTCATAGCATACATATATCAAAAAACATAGCCTCAAACATAGCACACAAGACCCTCCAGTCTACACATGGATACCACTCTAGGTAATGTATAGTGAGAAGACTCACCTCGGATATCTCGAAATATCTCGTACACGTGTACACTGATCTAGCCTCCGCCTAAACACATAAGCAATTATCTCAAATCAATAACGAGTCTCCAGGATAGAATAGTCTCTACCATGTCCTCTAAGAAGGCTAAAAGACCATTTTACCCTTCAAATGGTCCACAAGTCCAATTGTCGACCAAACCCTAAAAGTCAACAAAAGTCAACGCTCAAACTTTGATCAGACTCGTCGAGTGCACTCATGTGACTCGACGAGTCCATGCATGTCCTCTTCACCCCTAGTCCTCACTCGTCTCGCTGAGTCAACCCTACACTCAACGGATTATCATAGGTCGCGAATCGGGGGGTAACCCGACTCGACTCGTCGAGTTCCTCCCATGAAAACACTCAAACGACCTTCTAAGGTCAGATCTCCTTCTCCAACTAGTAGATCTAACCTCTTAACACTCGAAAGTCACGTAAAGGGTTCAAACTTTACGTTAATGCAATGCTTATAAGACCAAAAATGGAGAACTAACCTTTAAAATGGGGTTCTACTCTAAAGGCTCACATGAAACCTCATAAAGCTGGAAGCTTTGTACCTTTTGGACCTCTCAACGTCCAGATCTATCATCTACACCCAAAGGGACATCATATGCTTCACAATCTAACTGAAAATGGTGCAAAGGAAACCCTAGATTCAAGGAATCTACCAAATACACGAAATGGGAAGGAACTTGTACCTCAAAACGTGAATCTCAGTGTGAACAACACAGATCTAAGCTCCACAATCGATCTAGCTTGGATTTTCTCACTCCTTCTTGCAAGGTTACACCAAAGGATGAAGAATTAGCCTCCAAAATGCACTCTAAGCTCTCTTTGCTCTCTAGGGCTTTCTCATGGGAGTAGTGGTCGCAAATGACGGCCATAAGGGCCTTTAAATAGGGCTCAGGCCCTGAAATTTAGGGTTTCACTTTACAGCGCGGACTCGCCGAGTCCACACACCAACTCGTCGAGTCCGATCATTAATCCAGACTAGAATTCACGATGCTAGTCGGCGAGTCTGAGCGTTAACTCGCCGAGTCCCTCTACAAAACTAAAAATAAATAATTAAAATAAGATACATGGGAATCCGGATGTTACAATTCTCCCCCACTAGAATGAGACTTCGCCCTCGAAGTCTCATTCTACAAACAACTCTGGATGTTGCTTCCGCATCTCTGCCTCCAGCTCCCAATTTAGCTTGGACCTTTTTCGATGCTGCCACTAAACCTGAACCAGTGGCACTTCCTTGTTTCTCAAAACCTTGATCTTCCGATCCACCACCGCGACTGGCCTCTCAACATAATTCATGCTCGCATCCACCTGAATATCCTCCAGTGGTGCCACTGCCGACTAGTCGGCTATACACTTTCTCAACTGGGACACATGGAAGTTATCATGAATCTAGCTCAACTCCGCAGGTAGCTCTAAGCGATACGCTACTGTAACGCTCGTAGATCCGGACTAGTCAATTTAGAGATAATAGAGGTCTAAAACGACTTTTTGACAAAAGATTATTTAGAATAAATAATCTTAACCAAGTTTTATAGTATGTCTCAAGGGTTCCATACATATAAAGAATGTCGAAATCCGAGTTATAACGAAGAGGTTATGGCCCGTCGAAGTTTTACGGCAAAACCGGCACGACACCAGGAGACATAAATAATGAATTTTTGATAAAAGACTTTTTAGCCTTATCGATCCAAATAAAAGTTGTAGTATATGTTAAACTGAGAACATACAAAAAAATGAACGCCCAAATCTGACTTCGTATGAGGAAGTTATGAATTTTCTAAGATTTGGCATAGTAGTGCACGGCTTGAAACTCGAATTTTAGTTCGAGCGGTTTTTGGCCTACACGACCTAAATGAGAATTGAAGATCTCATTAATGGGAACTCAACAGTAAAAAGACGGATGAAAACAGAGTCCGTATGTAAAAGTTATGAATTTTACGCGGACATTTAACAGTATAATCTCCTCGTACTGTTAAATTTAAGATCGGTCGAGAATTAGCCGACGAAGTCAAAATGAAAGTTGTAGATATTATTTTTACCTACGCTTGGACATAAAGAACGTCAAAAACGGACGTCGTATGTGAAAGTAACGGATTTTAGAAGTCGGAAGTGTGCTGTGCAAAATCGGGTGATGTGGCACAATCTTGGCCATTGCTTTCTCCCCATGTCTTTCCACTAGATGGTGACATGTGGCACCAAGTTCAGCCATTTTTACCCTATAAATAGAACCTCTCCCACCCTTATTTTCTTTACACCTTTCCTATTCTTTCTTCTTTTTAATCTCTCTCTAAAACCTCTCTCTAGCACCGAAACCCCCCCGAAAAGCCTAGGGAACCTCTCTAGCACGAGGTGGAAGCCCCAGAGTGCTCGACGGCTCCGAGAAGAAGAGATTTTCCGCACGGGAATGCTGCTCCAAGCAAAGACCGGTTTTCTGTAAAACCCGCTGTAAGTGAGCTACGCCTACGCTAATATTAATATTAAGAACTTATAATAAGTAATTGGGCTATTATTATGAGCTATATAAGGATTGTTTAACACTTATATAATAGTAATAATAGCTAGACTATTAATTAGTCTCGGCGAATAATAGACTAAACTCTAGTTGTAATAATACTAGGTTTCATCAAAGGAATTTTTTTTAGAAGCGAAGCGCTGTCTGAGTTCGGAATCACCACCTTATCAAGTGAGTGCATAGTCCCTTTCATGAACATGATTTTAATACAAGTATCGATTGAAGTATTAAATATATGTTTATGTGCGGATTATTTGATGTTGCCTGAGACACTTGTTAAAGAACATACCTGATTTTATATGCTGATTTAGGATAAAGAGTAAACCCAAATTAATTATGAGGAATATTGGGTAGTGTTTTCTTACGAGTACGAGTGAATTATACTCAGAGAATAAACCTTAGTATATGTCATTGATCCGGGAGCATGGGTTAGACATAGTCACTGTCCCTAGTCCAAGAGTATGGATTAGGCATAATGTCACACCCCAAAACCAAGAATGGCGGAAACGTTCTGGGGCGGAGGACGTCATGTACAGTATCACAACAATGAAAAGTAGTAAACAAGCAACAACATCATCCATTGCATTAATAATATAATTATTATACAAGTGTGTTCTATCAAAATTTTGATAAACACTAAAGCATAAATCAAAATGAAAGATGAGTCTTGAACGAGCTCCATCTTCTCTAAACCTTGC